CTTTCGTTCCAACTCCACCTGCTTTCCACCCAATCCCCCATTGGTACCAAGTCACGTGGCTTCCAGCTCCTCGCTCGACCGCTCCTCAGGTTCCGCCACCAGCGGAGCGGACTGGTCACGGAGGCGGGTGGTGTAGATGGCCTCACTGGCGGCGATGCCACGGAAGAGCAAAACATCTCCATCCTCCCCCACTTCATCCCCCCCAGATTTCTGGCCAACCCTCCAGAATGGAATTGATGAAACGATGATCTTTGTTTACTGTTTAGGAAGAAGAACAGAACTTAAAGGAACACAGATCTTGCTCCGTTGTGTTCTTGAATCTAACCTAACAATGCAACTATAGAACATTCCACATCCCTTCAAATCACCCTCAATCCTCATGCACGTTCTCCACAATGCTCCACATCTCTCACCAAGGAGCCCCCAAGAGTTCTCCCCCCTCATCTTCCGCCACGAAGTTCCCCAGTGGCGCCCGAGCCAAGCGCCCGGCCACGGTGCCACGTGCCGCCTGCGCAGGAGCACGGGGTCGGAACGGAGGTCCGTCGTCTTCACCCCAAAAGCTTCGTGGAGCCCCTATGCTTTGGAGGATCATCATCTCATCGTTTTGGGCTCAATATGATTGATATCAATATCATTCATGAATTATCTCTAAACATAATTACGGATGGGTCTGCTATTGATCATGCCTTCATGCTTTGCTTTCTCTGCTGCTGCACCACATGATGAAAGAAACACCTCACTTCTGCTGGGATGCGACCAGCACCGGACGCTCCCCTCCTCGCGCCTCCAAGCTCCCCACGCGCGCACGGCGCTGGAGGGCCATCAAGGACTCCAGGTCTTTCTGCTCGGCCAGGCGAACGTGGAAGGGATACCTCGCGCGCACGGGATGAAAACCCATACAGTCGTGGAGGACTTCAACAGTCGGGTGTGCACTGCGACGCCCTTGCGGTTGGATGGTGTTCAGAAAGGTCTTGTGTGACAGTGATTCTTCCTGGTATTGGCTTGGAAAAAAACTGACCAAAAAAAGAGTGCAGTTATCCGTTCTCCGTACAAAGTCTCATGGGTCATTCGTCAAGAGCCGGGCAAATGCATCATTTCTGCTTGGATCCTTTCAATCTCTGACCCTCATGTCAACATGTTCGATCCCAAACGGAATGTCACGACCCCCCGCCCCCCTTCCGTGGCAGACGCCTCTTCACGTGCTGGTTCATGATGCGGCAGTAATCTCCGGACTCCTTGGAGCTCGGCTCCCCGGCCATGGATCGACTCGTGACAGCGGTGGAGGTGCTCCTTTGCATTGGATGCGCGAGCTCCTTTTCCAATTGCATCTGATTCCTTGAGCATCACATAAGTAAACCGAGTCATTCTTGCAACCAAAGGCATCTACATGCATCTACCACCTCTCGCCAAAGCACCTTTAGAATCTTTTAGATCCCATTTCTCCAGCTGCCAGCCATCCCCCCCTCACCATTCACCAGCACCCCTTCTAGTTGCCGCCGGGATACGGGGTAGCACTTCAAGCTCTTGGCATCAGCGCAACTGAAGAGGCCTCGAAGAAAACGACTTCGCGAAGGACTCACCAAGTCGGACGAGGGGCACTTGTCTCCCCGCCCCCCCTCGCGACTCCGCGAAGAAGCGGTCGGCACGCTGCGGCCCATTCGTACCACGCGACGGAAAACAGGATGGTACTATGTGATCTCAGGATGAGGTAAAACAGCAAAGAACTGGAATAAGAGAAAATCAAAACTTCCAAACTCTCCAAAAGGGTTGGTTCTCTGTTGTTTGGCTTGGGGTCTCTTCTGAACAATGAAAACTCACACAAGGAGTTCGAGACAATGACCATGGCTGGTTGGAATCACGTGAAAGGCCCACTGCAAGGTCGGTGAACGTTGCAGGAGCTACCATCCGGAACTGCACTCCTTCGACCGAGTCACCGGCTTCGGCCAAGGCCAAGCAGAAGGCCTTCGCTGGGACCAAGTATTGCCGCGACAAAGCGGCTTCCAGGTCAAAATGGAACGACACCTGGGACCGGCAGGTCGCGCAGTGAGGAAACCGCATGGCGGGTCGTGCCAGCAACAGGTGGTCCAGGCAACAGGTCATCGAACCTACGGAAGGTAATTACTCGGGGATCCATTTAAAACCTACGTCAAGTCCTTGATGAATACTGTTTATTTTCGGGATTTTTCGGGCATGGACAGGGTCCTGAAGGAAGAGTTCAAAGCATAAGCAGTGAAGGATGAGACGTCACGCTGTCTCCTGAAATTTGGCGCGTGTCTTTCGATCTATGCAATCTTGAAAGAGAACTGCTTAAGGGATGAAGACCACTGGAAATCCTCAAGTTGACATTGTCTCATCCAGGACGCCCAATCTCCAAAACAGAACACCTCGCAGCCCCAGACCAAAGGAATGCAAACAAAAGGCCTCCAAGGCCAAACAGAGACAAGAACCGGTCGATACAAACAGCGTTATAGAATGGCTTTCATTATCTCTCATGGCCATTGAAGCCGATGATCCACACCATCTGGCCCCGACTAAATCGTTCTTTTTCAGTCCCCCATCGGGCAAGTCACGTTCTCGTTGAAGTAGCGCCGGGTGTTGGGCACGTCCAAAAGCATGACCTGGACACCGGAAGCCAGGCAGGAGAGAGATGTTGCTCTTCACGAACAAAGGGAAACCGGAAGCTCCCGGCATCGTTTGCTCCACAATTGGCAGTGTTCTGTCTATGTGGTGATGGCTATCGGTGGTGGTCTGTATCAGTTTCTGAAGTTGCTTCTTTGTAGTAACGTGCAATGAAGCAACGTGTTATGAAACAAACAGCATGGAAAAAAGCAAGCTCGCGCCATCACCTTTGCACTCAAAAAAACTATCTGCTTCTAGCTGTTGGCGAAACAACCCGCGAGTACTGACTCAAAGGGATGGATTTCCTACACAGATCAACTCATCCACCGATCAGCAAGGCCTCCCACCCCCGCCTCAAGGAGGCATAGGCCGAAACTGCTGAGGCACTGGGCCCAGCGCTGGAAGTGTTCTACCAAGGATTGGTAGACCTCCTGCCATCCGCTCGTTCGGCGGATTGACGGCAAGTGGGGCAGCTGAATCACCCCAGAATATGAGGAGAGAATTCGAGGAACAGCTGGCGTGCCAATTCTCTACCAGTCTTTATCTTTATATAAGTGTAAAATTACATCTTCGGCACTGGATTTCCCGCAAAAGCATACAGCACACGATCAGCATACCATTTCACAATGAAATCCCTTCCCAGCGTCCCATCCACTTAATCTCTTCATCCCACCCACCACCGTGTCACCGCGCATATCGCGCCTCCGGCGGCACCGGCTCTCCCGGACGGTCCAGGTAGGCGCTCCGCGCGAAGAGCCGCTGGACGAAGCGCTGCCGAGCACTGCCTGGAAAAGAAGCCGTTCCGGCAAAGGTAGAGCTCACAAGAAACCTCGATCAGGTACAGTAGTCAAAGTTAACGGGATCATCCTATACTCATAGTGGAAAATGCGGGGCGAAAGGTCTGGGAAACATGGAAATCTGGTGCTTGGGATGAGTGGAGGCTCTTTTTTCTGCGCTGTGCAGTGTAAATGAGCCATTGCGATAATCGCTGTGTGTTGGCAAACCCTTCCGCTTGAAAAGGTCACCGAACTCACATTGATCACAGGCGCGCCAAGACTATCAACTACTGTGCCATTGCCTCCTCCAGCTGGCATGAGGGAGGCAACGTCTCATCATTACTAATGATCTCACGGCCCACTGCCCACATCAAAAAAACACTTCATGTCTGAACTGTTGAAGTTCAAGATCCTTCTGCAATGAAAGCTTTTCTGGTACAACAACAACAACAGCAGAAGTTTCAGGCGTATGGGACATGAACCACTTCCGGGTCTCCCCGGCTCAAGCTCGATCTTATGCCGAGCACCCAAAGACTTCGATCTCATCCACGGTCACAGTTTGGGCTTCGGCCAAAAAACGTGAACTGACCGCCCGTGCCGGACGCATTGTAGGTATGTCCAAATACACTGAACGTTGCTTGTCCCTGGCTTCCGCATTGTTGGAGCTGCAAATCGTGCCCCCCCACCGAAGACCGGCAAGTAGGACACAGAGCAGGAAATGCCATGCTGATGATTCTGGAAAATGTCGTGCCGCGACGGCGAGGCGTTGGGCCCACAGAGGCGGAACAAAAAAGCTCCTTCACATCTCACGTATTGATTTGTGCTGCTCCACGCTGCATCGGTGTAACCCCCAAAGATGTAGCCACCAGTGCTGCGGGCGAGCACGACCGTCGGCCCCCGGTTGTCGCACTTCTGATGGAAGTTTGCAGGCGCAAAGCCGTCTTGAGTGGCCTGAGTAGCTCATTTTTGGTGGCACGTGAAAAGGCGGAATTTTGAAAGGGTTGCCATATACATCTATTTAACATGACTTGCCCATACTGCAAAATGGAACAAGGTTATCATACACAATTGAACCACGGAAAGCCTGGCAGCAGGCACTGTCCACCAGATTTTTCAGGGTGTTGAAAGTCAAAGGTGACAAAACGTGTTAAAAATGAACTCTCGGAGAGAACGATAAGGCATCATTCCTCCAGCCGCACCGGCTAAGTGAGTAGTAGGGCAGCCGAGCAAACCAGTGTCTAACTCAGTGGTGAATAGCTAGCAGCATGAGTAATTAAGAATCTTCCAAGGCCAGCTGTACAAGCAGGTGGCACCTGGGTCCTAGTCCAAGTCACACGGTAGAGCAACTTCAGCTTCTTGAGCGGCAGCCATTGCAGCAAGAGCAGCTGCTTCTGGGAGTCAGCCAACTTTGTGTCAACCAAGTCCACGACTTTCATGCCTTCTAAGTTCAAGTACTCGGTGAACCGGTTCCATGCACCCCTCTTTGGAGCTGGGATCTGTGGAGCAAATTCCCGGCCAAGGAGCCCTTTGAGCCTCAAGTGGAGCATGAGCAGTTTGAAGAGCTCAGGGTCTTCGTCGAAGAAGACCTCTCCGTCCACCATCTCGTCACTTTGCATGGTCCAAGCCTGCTACGCTGTAATGTCTGCTCTAAACAGGTTGAAAGTGCCTCACCCACAACTTACCTTGTGAGCTACAAGCGCCAAGTACTACGTAGGCACGTCTAATACTTGAACTAGAAAGTGAACGTATCTCTTGAGTGAAGAATCTCCTGCTGGTTGATTGTGACAATTCAGTCTGGGCGGTCGACCAACCTGACAAAGGCAACCCAGCAAGAGGAAGAACCTGTTCTGCAACGGAAGTTTTTCTCACAGTGATGCGACTCCAAATCACCCCTGAAATCTGACTATGCACTCTAGAACTCTAGCACTTGTGCCTTCTCAAGGCCACAAATAGCTGATTGTCGAAGGGAATGCCTTTACTTTAGCCGAAGGACTCATAGAACGCACACAATTTGCTTTTGAGACTGCTGCATATACTTCAATAGGGCTGGTGGCCTGAACCCAAGTCAAGTCTACTATACATATAACGTGGCAAAGCACCTGCAGTATCACAGGTCCAGGCCTCTCCAAATTTAGCAGCCAACTGGGACTCACTCTCAAATAGCAAGGTTGATCGGAAGGTCTCCTGGCTGGCCAAAAGGATTTGAAGGCATGTTGCATGGGAAACGCACGCGGGGCGCTTCCATCTTCCTTTGATTTATGCAAGCGGAAGTTCCTGTGCATCATGCAGCGCCCTGCTTGGACGCAAGTTGGGGTCCGAAAGACAGATTCCTCCTCGAGGTGTCCAAGAACCTATCCGGGATTTGGGCTTGAGTTGAATGAAAGTGTGCAAAGCCTTGTGCTGGTCGCAACTTCTAATGTTGACGTGGAGAAATTGTTTGCAGCACAGACTTCAAGTGTTGTCCTAAACAGTGGGTAGTTGCACAAACAGCCTCCTAAGCCACTCCCATAACCAACTGGTCGGAATCGCAAGAGAATTGTCAGAGTGCTGTTGCATCGTCCCATCTCTGCTTACGCAAGCAGAACACCAATTGACAAGCAGTTTCCTGCTTAGCTTGGATTCCAGAACCGCCACTTCCTCTTTTTGTGCAGAAGAACCTTTCTGGGATTTACGATGGGGTGAAGTAAGTATGGAAAAACAACTTGCGACACGGACTTCAATTGGTTATCTTTTTCACTGAAACCGTTGGCTTTTGGGAGGCTTTCAGGAAGGTAAACAAGAGTATATAACAATAGATTTCCGGAGCACGTCTCCAGAACCACTCCGCTCACATTCAGGCGAATGATGTCCGCTTCACGCTCGCCAGAAGTGCCGCGGCCCAGAAACTGTCTCATGAAATCCACCTCAGCGCGCAGCCAGACAAGTAGAAGTTTGGGTCATACAACGTTCTCTGGGATGGCGAATTTGATGTATACCTTTTGATATATAGTAGTATAGTATACGATAAGATACAACAAATACACCTACTTCCTCCTTTACACTTCGCACATTGTAAAATAGCACCTTTGAGCCACCACCCACCTCAATATCTACGGCCTTCTGCTGTGCATCAAGCACCCTGTTTTGTCTACGAGTCGTGCACTCGTAGTCCAGAGCTGCCTGAGCGACTGCCATTACCTTTTCAACAAGGTCAGCATGGGACTCGTCCATCTCCATCTTGCCCTGCTTGATCGTAGAATCCAAAGCTTCCCTCAAAGTCTTGAGCGTTTCCGAGAAAGCTGCCGTATCCTCTTCTTCTGCTTTCTTGCTCTCACTCTCCAAATCATCACGTGAACACAAGAGGCGGCACAAATCCAAAAAGCCAGGGCGAAACTCTTCCGGCAACGATTCGACCGGGGGCTCGGTTTCTTCAAGTGATCCTGGCGGAGTTCGCTTCACATCAACCAGCCAAGAGAGCAAAGCCCTGAACTGCTGTGGATCCAGGTCGAGGAAGAATCTGCCACTCTTGTCCTTTGGCAGAACCTTATCCCAGCGGCCTCCAAACATCTGCGACAAGCGCGAGCCTTCGATGGCGGTGAGGGTGTCTCTCCTGCCGGGGTGGCCTGCTGTCACCGCAACCACAAAGGTATACGGTATAAATAACAGCAAGGACAAAGGAGGAAAGTGACAGCCACTTTATAGCCACATCTGAGGGTAATGTACTTTTTACATCTTTTTACTGCTAGGACCTTACTTTCCTCCCCCTCCTGGTTTGAAACGCGTTGTCACCGCCCACGTTCAGCTTCAACACGTCAGAGCCTTTCGCCGTTGCCTTCTCATCCTTCCCATCCGCTGAGCAGGACAACTTCAGGCGCTCCTCAAACCTCAATCATTCTCCGACGGCGCAAAGAATGTTTGAACCCAATCGACGGTCCATCCTAGGTGTGTTAAGGGCAGCTATTCCACTGGTCACTTGAAAGCCCCGGAGTGAAGATGCCAGATTGAACCGAAGTTCCTTAGGTTCCAGGTCGAGTGTTGGAAACGAAGTGCCGAAGGTTATCCAACTTTTGTCGGGCCATAGCCTTCGGTGCTCTCTGGGGAAACCGCTACGGCCAAGGGGCGAGAAACACAACAAGAGGAAGCCCTTGAACCTGAATGCAAACACATTAGCAGTCATTAAAAGATGTCCCTACGACAAAGGAGAAGAACCCTTTGCTATGCATTCTGGAAACAATAGAAAGGACCGGATCACCGGGCTGAGAAACACTGCTCCAGACGTCTCGTCTTCTCACACGACCCAAAAGCAATGGCACCGGTATCACCCTCCCTGGACCGCACCATGTTCATCCACAGTATATGTCATACTACCCTGCTTTGGGAACTTTACTTGTGACCCATGCCAAACCTCAAATCCAAAAAGCTCCAAGGAAAACTGAGGAAACAATAACAACTTCTAGCTTCCCCATATAGCTCTGCAAACGCAACTCCAGTCCAAGAAACACATTATCTAGCTTCTCACGCTTGCTCTTGATGCCCTCAACCACTGCCTCCATGCTGTGCTTTAGGGCTTGACACGAATCCGAGACTTTCTGCTCTCCCTGCGCCAACTCCATGGTGAGTGAGAGCCGCAAAGCTTGATCCACTCAAACAGCTTCGATCTGCACACAGTATTCTTCCACTTCCAAGTGCCCTCAGAGCCCAATTAAGCCGTATGGTTCTTGCAACGGCCAAACAGCACGAAGTGTGCCAAAAGCAACCACAGCAACCAAGTGCCCCAAAAAAGTGTTCCCACCTGGTGGAGTGGGAGCTTTTATGGCGGCGAAAAAGGTCTCAGGAATTCATCAGGAAATCGGGTGCGACTGGGAGGATGAGTGGGAGACTCTTCTTCTTCCTGCGCTGTGGCTGCTGTGCGGTGTGAATGAGTCGTTGACATGATCGTTGCGCGGTACCCCTCTGGCTTGTGAAGGTTGACGAAACAGGCATTCAACAAAACTATCATCAAACATGCTTTCGACTCAAGGTATGAGAGAGGCATCGGCTCCTATTGTCCGGCAAACGGCACCTACTCACTGCTGACTTGATTTTATTTAGATCAGCGCATGACCCAAAGCCCACATAGAAAAGCGAAGGGCCGAAAGCCCACATCGTAACAAGTTCGTGTCTGATGGAGTTTAAGAATCCTTTTGCAATGCTGCAAGCTTTGATCTCACAACAGAAACTGAAATGAGCTACTTCGTCGCGAGGCCCCGCTCAAGCTCGAACTTATGCCGAGCACCCAAAGACTTCGATCTCATCCACGGTCACAGTTCTGGCTTCGGCCAAAGACGTGAAGTGACCGCCCGTACCGGATACATTGTAGGTGCTTCCGAAGCTGGTGCTGTGCCCTACCGCCTGGGCGCCTTTTTGCTGGAACCACAAATCGTCACCAAAGCTTGGCAAATAGCCGGATGGGTACAAGCCGCGATGCTTCTGGCATGGGTGAATGCCGTGTCGCGACGGCAAAGCGTCGCACCCACAGAGGCGGAACAGAAAGGCATCTGTGCATCTCGCATAGCTTGCTGCACTGCCCCAGGCTGTGTCGGTGTAACCCCCAAAGATGTAGCCACCAGTGCTGCGAGCAAGCACAACCGTCGGCCCCTGGTTGTCGCACTTCTGATGGAAGTTTGCAACAGCAAAGCCGTCTCGAGTGGCCTGAGTAGCACGCCTAAAAAGCAAAGGAAGTTCTAAAAGGGTGTCAAAGCAGGCCATTTACATGAAAAAACGCACATACTTGCATAAAACCTGTAGATTTGGGGTGAGCTTGTTTACATCAACATCGCAATTCCATACATCTTTGGAGAGTCAAACGCCCCACCACACCAGTTGCTAGCAGACGAGAAGCCCAAGCACAACCAACTACACTACATACAGCCTGGCCCTGGCCCTAATTAGGCTCGGCAGCAGAAAACAATCATAACATTGTTTGTGCGTTGAGACTTGGCAGAAAAGTGTAGAACTTGCAATACGTTCACAGGCACTGTATCCACCTCAATGTTATTGGAGCAACATGTTTACAACATCCAGAGCTTCCCGGCCGGTTTCATCGTTTCTGCAGAAGTTCGGATGCGACCACAAAGCTAGTAGCAAATGTTTAGCATCGAGGAGCCGAGAGGAAGGCCAGGCGTTCCAAAGGCCAGTTTTTTCAAAGATGCTAAGTGAGTGGAAATGGATCCCACCTTCTGTAAAGCACGTAGTCAACCCTGAAAAATGTCTATATCAATATCTAATTATATACCAAAGGGCTCGGTACAGCAACTTCAGGTTCTTCAGGGGCAGCCACTCCAACAAAATCGGCTGCTTCTCCACATCGACCAGGTTAGTGTCAAACTCTCCCAGCTTCATGCCTATGTTCAAGTATCCTGTGAACCGCTTCCATGCCCCCTTCTTTGCAGCTGGGATCTTTGCTGGATATTCCTGGCCAAGGAGGCTTTTGAGCCTCAAGTGGAGCATGAGCAGTTTGAAGAGCTCGGGGTCTTCGTCGAAGAAGACCTCTCCGTCCACCATCTCCTCACTTTGCATGGTCCAAGCCTGCTACGCAGCAATGTCTGCTCTAAACAGGTCCAAAGTGTCGCACCAACAACCTGCCTTACGAGCAGCAAACGAAAAAATACTAGGCACGTCTAAGACAGAACTCGAAAGTGAACGTGTCTCTTGACTGAAGAAGCTGCTGTCTGTTGAATAGTGTTTGGCCGATTGCCAGTTTGACATCGCAAAGCACCTGCACTGTATAGCACAGGTCCAGGCCTCCCCAAATTTGGCTGCCAACTGGGACTCACTCTCAAAAAGCAAGGTTGATCGGAAGGTCTCCTGGCTTGCAAAGAAGATTCAAGCAAGCCAGTTGAAAACAGCCTCCTAAGCTCAATATACTCCGATAACCTTTTGGTCTTCATTGCAAGAGAAGGGTCAGAGTGGTATTGCGTGGGAAACGCATGGGAAGCCCCCCGTCTTCGTGTATGCAAGTGGAACTCCGTTTGGACTGCCACTTCCTCTTTGGATGCAGAGAAATCTGTCTGGGATTTAGGATGGGGTACAGTAGGAATGGAGAAACTCCTTGCGACACGGACTTCAATTGACATTCTTGGCTGTTGGGAGGCTTTCGGGAAGGTAAACACGAGTAAGATATTTCCGGAGCACGTCTCCAGAACCACTCCGCTCACATTCAGGCGAATGATGTCTGCTCCACGCTCGCCAGCAGTTCCGCGGCCCAGAAACTGTCTCATGAAATCCACCTCAGCGTGCAGATTGCACTATAAGTTTGGACCTGTGATTGGCATGCAAGTCATACAACCTTCTCTGGTATGGATAGATTAGTGCACGTCTTAACATACAAATGTACGATATACACAACAAATACACCTATATATATATATTATATACTTAATCCGACTCACTCCTTTAGACTTCGTACATTTTCGTGAAACACTCTTTTTGAGCCACCTCCGGCCTTCTGCTGTGCATCAAGCACCCTGTTTTGTCTACGAGTCGTGCACCCGTAGTCCAGAGCTGCCTGAGCGACAGCCACTGCCTTTTCGACAAGATCAGCATGGGACTCGTCCATCTCCGTCTCATCCTCGTTGATAGTAGAATCCAAGGCTTCCCTCAAAGCCTCGAGTGTTTCCGAGAAAGCTGCTGTATCCTCTTCCTCGCTTTCTTGCTCTCACTCTCCAAATCATCACGTGAACACAAGAGGCGGCACAAATCCAAAAAGCCAGGGCGAAACTCTTCCGGCAACGATTCGACTGGGGGCTCGGTTTCTTCAAGTGATCCTGGCGGAGTTCGCTTGACATCAACCAGCCAAGAGAGCAAAGCCCTGAACTGCTGCGGATCCGGTCGAGGAAGAATCTGCCACTCTTGTCCTTTGGCAGAACCTTATCCCAGCGGCCTCCAAACATCTGCGACAAGCGCGAGCCTTCGATGGCGGTGAGGGTGTCTCTCCTGCCGGGGTGGCCTGCTGTCACCGCAACCACAAACAACCACAGCAAGGCAAGGTGTATAAGACCAATGGGATCAAGAGGAAAATCATTTGCAGCTCTTTAGCCAAACCTGAGGGTTGCTGTAACTACTCCAGCCACGCTCTCCTGGTTTGAAATGCACTATCACCACCTACGTTCAGCTTCAACACGTCAGAGCCTTTCGCCGTTGCCTTCTCATCCTTCCCATCCGCTGAGCAGGACAACTTCAGGCGCTCCTCAAGCCTCAAATCATTCTCCAAAGGCGCAAAGAATGTTTGAACCCAATCAACGGTACATCCTAGAGTCTTCCAACTACGTCGTATTGTGCCGGTCTTCCATGATCAGTTTGAAGTCCTTGGAAAAGCCATGAGAACATTGGAAAAAAATAAAACATTACAAACCTACAAAAACCATCCATGGTTTGGGGAAAGCTAGACTACAACTTCCGAATGGTCGCCGGGTCATGAGGGCTAAAGACGCCGCACGACGCTGTAATCGCGTGGGTTGAGGAAGATAACCTACAATTGGGTTTCCGGTGGAACCTTTGGTGATTCTCAGATGTGGATGCATCAAAATTGCAACACTTGAGAAAGAACACTGGAAAAGAATGGAAAAGAGACTTTATGTTCTCAAAGCGCATCCTCTGAAGTATATACAGTGCCGCAAAGGTAGTTCTGAATGCATTGTTAGCAAAAAGGTTACGAGGCAAGGTTTGTGCTGAAATCTCAAATCAGATTCGGTTTTGTCCAACTTTGGTCTAAGTACTGCCGGGTGCTTTCTGCTCTCTGGGCAAGCAGCCCGCAGCAAAAAACAAATCCCCCAAGCTCTATGCCCCATCCAAGTTGGAAACACGTCTCCCAACTCAAACAAAACGTGGAAAAGGCCATCCAAGAAACACGTCGTCTAACATTCTACGCTTCTTCTTGATGCCACCAACCACTGCCTCCATGCTGCGCTTTAGGGCTTGACACGAATCCGAGACTTTCTGCTCTCCCTGCGCCAACTCCATGGTGAGTGAGAGCCGCACAGCTTGATCCCCTAAAACAGCTTCGATCTGCACGCAGTAAGCTTCCCCTTCCAAATGCCCTTCCACCTTCCAAATGCCAAGAGCTGTCGGGCCAATTTATTCTTCTTGTAACCAATCTTAATGGATCAGAGCCCAAGCTGTCTCTTTTGCTTCGTCCACCGCGCCCCAACTGCGCCCCTCGCCGTCGGCCTGGGAGAATGGGCCGCTCGGGCCGTTGAAACGGCCGATCGTGGTCCAGGAAGGAGCGCACGTGCAGCACCCGCCTGCGGTGGACGGTCGACCGGGTTAAAGAACGAGAAGGCGCGTGCTCATCTGCATGTTTTTTCCAGACATACGGAGCAATCTACATGTGTTTCGAAACAAGTTGACACCAAAAGATGATTGAATACCTCCCTCCTACTCCCAGAAGTTGAAAAGGCCCGGATCTTCCGAGCTGTCCTTCCCCACGAAGGGTCTTAGAATTATCTTAGAATCTCCTTTGGCAAGACCTTGGATGATGTGCATCTTATCACATTGACACCACTCCCACTCCAACCTGCGAGTCGAGCTCGCCCGCCTGGCATCGATGCCTCGGTGCTCCAGCTCTCGCACCAGGCGACCTGAGGAGTCAACGGCCACGGCGCGGGTCCCCGCGGGCATGGTCGAGCTGATGCGTTGTGGTGCTGTTCTTCGGTCGACCGGAAGAGTAGGAGATCATTGCAAAATGGAAGGTTACAAAGGATTTGTGTGGGTGATCACGGTGATCACTACAGAATACTACAAACATCTACACACTACTTCAGGTATAGGACATGTATCTAGGAAAGGTGCGCAGAGGGTTTCCATCTGCCCTCAGCTCCAGGGGCTTGGGTTCAGCAAGAGTGCACCTCGAAAGAAGAAACGGACATCGCGGTTGCTTTCTGATTTCTGCTTCGAGGTTGCCGTAGCGCAGGTTCTAGGTGCGTTCATTGGCAAATCAATACCATCAATACCTTCAAGGAATGGGCCACCATAATGCTTTCATAGCGAGCATTTCATATACAAAACAATCCTTTTGAAATTCTCAACCACACACTTGGTAAGCATCAGTACTAGGTCTCTGCTTCATTCTTGCTCGCTTCTTCCACTCCTCCCACTATCAGCAGCCTCACCATCACCAGCGCCCCCCCGCCTGGCTGCCCGATATCCGCCTCCAGCAGCTGGTGCGGCACCTCCCGCAGCGTCCGCGCGGCCGCTCCCAGCGCTGCGGTGTTCCTCGGGAACGCTGCGGGGCCACGGTGACTCGAAAAGGGTTTGTTGGGAGAGGAAATCGGGACTGCAGAACGGCAAGGTACTCCCATCACCCACGGTACCTTGCAAGCATGGTACCTTGCAAGGGTCTGGACCACACGCAAAAAAGGTCAGTGAGTTTAGGGCCTGAACCAAAGGTCTTCACAGAGTTGTCGTTTGTGTTTGGCCTTTCTTCCGAAGATGGTTTGGGGAGGTCCCACACCCAGACCGTCTGGAGATCCCAAACTTCCATCTGATCTATTGGGATCCCAAACTTCCCCTCCCGGCACCGGTTCAGTGTTTGACTGGCAGTTTTGTCAAGTGTGATTGGATTCCAGCGTTGGCAGGGCAACTGGTTCTGGTAACTGAGGCCATGTGCATATATAATTCCTTCAAAGACATGAGGGATAATGTCACCTTCAAACATTCAACAGTCCGTGAAGACATATACCGCCTTAGACGAAGAAGCCCATAGGATTTCTGCCAAGATCTGCCAAGATTTTTGTGTGGAGTCTGCCCATCTTGCATGGTTCAATGTTGGGCTCGAAACGAATGAGATCATCATGTTCTAGCAACCCCGAGAGAAGCAAAGAACATGAATACTAGCGCCAGGTTTAACTCACATCAGGCGGTGCAAAGTCACATCTCCCAATGGCACAGAGCCAAAACCAAGAAGTCACATCATGTTCGGTAAGTCACATCAGGTAGTGCAAAACACAATGGCACTGAGGTGTTCAGTACTGTGTTGTTTATACTCCCAAGTGGCCAAAGCACTCCCAGGTTTTTTTGTAGGTCTCAAAAGCGAGGATCCACTGGACCCAGCGGTTTTCCATCCTTGTCCTGAGAACGCATCTTTTAGCTGTGCCTGGCCATTCTGAGACAACCCCCAAACCTCAGTTTGGACCATTTCTGTTCGTCAAAATGAGGCAAACCCCATCTCCTTTCTGACTCAAACTTTTTGAGAAGCCAACCCTCCAACCACCTGGCTCCAACCTGCTCAACTCATCCACCCGCCCACCTGATGGTGGGGCCACTCTGCTTAGTCTCAGATCGATGCCGATCATCGTCAGGGGGGTGGTCCTCGCGATGGGTCCGGATGGTGGGTACCCAGCACGGTGAAGCATGTTCTGCTTCGTGTCGGCTGGATGGAGGATGGAACATGACCACTTTTTGCAAGGACAGGGATGGAGTCTTCCAGGGCAGTTGTCTTCTTTCAAGACAAAATCTGAAGAAAGCGACCGTTGTTTGGTGCATACTGAACTGAAGGTATGCCTACGTACCCCCATACTGAAGAGTACTATACCGTCTACACGTCCCACCGTTGGCTTGAAAGCCTCAGGCCTCCGTGGTGGCCATCCTCTTGGATCGCCATGGGCATGGCACCGGTCCACCACACCGATGGTCCTTCAAATGCTTCCCCCCGGATCGTTTCGGAGCACACGAACTCGTAGATTTGCCACAAAAGGCTCCCATCTCCACAGCCTGGCGGAAGAGCGAAAGGCCGGCTAGGAAGAGCTTCACCAAGGGAGACCGAGCTCAGAGCCTCAAGACAAAGCAGAAGGAGGCTGACCCCAGCAGAAAGTGTTCTCCTCTAGATCGACTCCCCCATAATATCGACTCCCCTAGAGATCGATTCAACTGGTCGACCTCATATAGAAATCCTGGTCGACCTGCCCAGCCCTTTGATCGATCCCAACTCGGATTGTTCCACTTTTTCACGCAGAGACCGCGCTGAGCGTTGCACAACACTGCGGCGGTCCAGTGGGCCGCCTGTGTCCGCCACATAGCAGGGTTGCTGCTCGAGGGGTCCGCTGAAGAGAGGTCGCAGGAGCTCTAAGAGGTCTCGGAAGAAGGCCTGCCATAGGGGCCGGAAAACCCAGGTTGGGATGCTGATATGCAACAAACAGTCCAAACGGCCGCTGTCAAAGAAACCATTGAAGAAAATTGACCATTATCACCCCTCATGGAAGTTGAGAAAATACATCTCTCAACCATCCACTCCAGAGATGAACGAAAATGTTTCGTGCCAAAATATCTGTTCAATTCAAGTTCAACGAATATCCGTTTGCCGCAGCTAATTGGGACAGATGCGGTCGCCATTGATATTGTGGTCAGGTGGCAGGTCTTGTGTCAAAATTTGACAAGTTCTTCACCAAATTGCAACCCAGTTCATGGTTTACTGAAACAGTGCGGAATCGGGGCTCTCAACAACTAAATTTTGTCCGTGGCCCGGCTCGGACTTCCCAAGTGACGGCGCCGAGTAGTGGACACAAAACAATGGCAACTCCACACCAAGAAAAACAAGTGGACGTGCGTGGAAATCACGGGGGCCTAAATGAAACTCTGATCGCAGCTTACCTCAAAGTTTTTCTTCAAATCCGACCCACAATTTCTGGAACATGGGCTGGACCAGAATTGATCAAACCTGCATAGCCCGATCATGCAACCTGACCCCCGAGCAACCAGCAAGCGACAATTGCCCAGCGCGTTCATCAAACCCATCCCTCGTTGTGGAGCTGGAGTCCCAACTCAACAATGGCCAAATCTGCCGTGAGTTTGATACAGCCAAGCGGTCACACGGTAGTCTAATGCAATGATCTAGAGTCGGACCCAGAGTTGCTGGACCTTGACGTCACCAAAGAAGTTGGATCATGTGCACAAGTCGCCCATATCAACATGGGAGGGCCATGCAAGCACATGCTCCTTGCCCAAAGCTTTTCCAGCTTAAAAGCTTTGGCTGCCTGTCATTAGGGTATTTCTCCTGCTACATTAGAACACCTAACTGGTTTTCCTCCCCACTTGCGCCGCTGCTGCTGATGTTGTTCAGCTGGACAACCAGCAAGCACTTGCCTTGTTCCTGCTCCAGTAATGTGAGCCGCACACGCTCGCAAAGGCGAAGGTACTCAGCATAGGCGACAGTCGGTTGAACCTAAAACTTCAGTCTGCTGTTGACCATGGTAGAAAAACCTACGCACTCGATCGCCAAATGTTAGACCCAGCAGGGCCTGACACACCTCACTCGTTCAGTTTCTGATTGCTCATCCGCACCAAGCATGAGGTGTTGACCAGTAGACATCTAAGAACCAATGGCAACGAAAAGCCTGCGACGTACTTGTGTAGTCCGACTCACCAGCTGCTTTGATGCATCTAAATACTCTTGTATGCACTCATGTGAATGGACACAAACGAAACCATCTCTATTTCGTGGCAGGAAATAAAATAACAGGCCTCGGCTCCGCCGTTTCCAGAATCCGCACCTTGTGTTGCAGGCCACTGCCAAGAACGTTCAGCACTCGGTCAACATGTCTCTCCTGCACAATCCGGATGCAGTTGGTCGAACCCCAGAAACATGGCTCCTCAGGAGTTCTTTCGGGAGGATTCCTCGGCTCGAGGTTGTTCGTTCGCTCGATGTTCCAGCTCGGTGCTTCTCTTGGAGATCCATCCGAGCATCGGATCCCCTTCCCTCTTCTCACGTGCCAACAGCGTCTCACGCGCCAACGTCACTGTCTCACGCGTCCTCAACGCCCGTCACTGTCTCCGCAAAGGCCCAGGAGGGGTCCTGTGGCCGTGACTTTGCCATTTCGAGTTGGAGCTGAGGAAGCTCCTTTTCGAAGAGTGGCCCGCACTTAGATGCTGTAACTTCATGTCTTCGCGAGATCTTACAATGCCAAGTAATTACATATACATGCTTTCTGGTCAGGTTGTTCGTGTACAATCAAATTGGTGCTGAATGT